ATATATATATATAATGCACAACTTTGTAAACTGTTCAGATTATCTAAGGATAAAATAACAGTAAATAATTATTATTTGAAGCCCAGGATTCAGCATTTATCCTCCAGATACTTTTACACCTTGAATATAATTGAGCCCAAATGTTTCCTTCAGTGTGAATAAGTTCTATGTGAGATATTACGTCACAATTACTGAGTGCTAATGGAGCCAATAGGATTAGTCTTTTTTTTTTTATTGGAGTAACACTGAGATGAAACTCATTTGAGAGCAGCACAATTCTCCAAAACGGGTGGGAATGAAGTAAAGGAAGCTCTTTCTCCTGACTAATTCAGCACCATTATGTGTGACCCCTGATGGCTTCTCATATCAGTCAGAGGACGAACGCTGCTGGTTCTGACTCAGTGGACTTTTCTGCACCAGACTAAAGTGGGCATCAAACATACAACCTAATATTTATCTTCTTGCAGGCCTCTATAAAGCTCATTAAAAAATTGTATGAAATCTTTAACCACTTCAAAAATAAAATGCTGTTTGTCTTGTCTTGACTTTTCACTATTGCCAAATATTAAATTTCATTATTTTATTTTATTTTTCCTTTATGACAGTTTCACTGAAATCCATCAAATAATTCATGAGATTTTTTTTGCAAACAGACAAGGTTGATTTAAACAGAAAATAGGCCTAACAAAGTTTTAATTAAAATATTTCAATGTGTGTTAGGTGTTACCAGCTACTATCACACCCAGGTTTAGCTTGATGTCTTCAGATTTTTGTGTTTAAGGTCAGTAAGCTGTGGCAGCCGTTTTGAATTGATTTGATTCCAAAATGTATTTGCATCCAATGATTACTTTGTAAGCTTCTATATCAATTCTTCAAGTTCATGATGTTGCCAACATGTACATTTGTAACACAACGTGATCTTTTTTTCCCTCTGGTGAAATTTAAAAACACACAAAACAATATAAAGGTAACTTTCTCACATTTCCGCATCTCTCTGATCTCGGCACCTTGCTTCTCCGTGATTGGCTCGTGCGTAATGAGTCTTAATTATTGGCCTCGCGCGCAGGTGACGTCTATAAGTGCACATGTTGGCCGAAGAAGAAAAAAGTCTCTTCCGAGCGGCGATGCCTTGCAATCCCAAAACGAGAATAGGTTTTATTTTCTTAGTTGTCGGTGTTTATTTTTATCCATTTCAGCCTTGTTGTTCGGTAAGTTTAGGACAAAGGAAAGATGGTTCGGTCACTTACCGAGGCGGCACCGAGTCTTCGACCGGCTGGGAAAGGACTGAGCGCGAGCACCGACAGCTGGGGCGCGTGGTTAAGGAGGTGACATGGAGCCCAAAGCTACATAAAGCCAATGAGCCGGATTCTTTCGAGCCTCGGACTGACTCTTCTTCTAATGGTTACCCATTGACCCAAACCAGCTCACCAAAACTGGGTCAAACTGGCACCAACTTTACGCTCGGCACCTCGACTTGGACCACCGGTGAAGTCCGACCGGAAGGAAAGTCCTCATCGGATCCAGACTCTGAAGATGGGTATCAAGCAGATTTTGCAGGTCAAAAACGAAACGCCACCTTTTCTATGCAGACCTTTAAAAAAATTTTTTTTGTGGAACAAAGTGCTCCAAACTACAAATTAACAATTATATCAAATAAATGTCAATTGCTTTTATAATGCCTAATCCTAATAAAAATTTAGAAAAAAAAATCAGCTCTTTAGATGGCTCCCAAAATAAATCCAACGCCTGAGTTCACTGTTCTCCATAGTTTTGTCAGAATAAAACAAAACAATTGAAATAACTTGGGAACTTTTACAATTTAAGGCCTAACTTGTCTTGAAGAAATTCAATTCTCCCACGTTTAATTTTAACAGAATTTTAGACTTGTATTGGAAAGTTGTATGGTCATCTTAATGTCAGATGTGAAGCTCAGCATATTTATTGTGCATGACTGCTAATATCACAGCAAATAGTAGCTTATTTGTAATTTTAAGTAAGTATTATGTGTGTGTTCATGTTCAGGTGAACCTGGTTCTTCTGGGTAGTTCAAATTGAAGTTTTTTGCTTAATCCTTCATACAGCTCTGGACGAAAGATTGCAACGAAGTGATTGTTTGGCACAATCTGCTGGCTACCTAAGATCTATTTTTATTGATTGGCATTAATGTGATTGTATTAACTGATAATACAATAAATTGACTAATTTGATTTTTACTTGTTTGTATGTGGTATGTATTAGGTATTGCATATATAAGCAAGCTTGAATTGATAGCAATATATGAATTACAATTTTTTTATACATGATGGTATCAATATTGTAAAAAAAAACAATTATTGTTCTTGTTTTCTTTTCTTTAGGTTTTTTTGACAAACAAGGGAAGATTTGGGGCCTGTCAGATGACTCCAGCCCATATTTCTCTGATTGGGAAGCAATGCAGCCTTTGGTTGAGTGCAATGATGACGTCATGACCCTGACTGTTTCTGGTCATGGATACACACACCTGCAAGTGGACAGAAGTAAGGTTATCTGATATTCATGTTGCATTCAGCATTTGTAATTATTTTTGATATAAATAGTTATTGCCACGGTTTTTTATAAATCTGCATGTTTTAATTAAGTCCCCACATCAGTTAAGATAGAAATGTAAAGGTGGAATATGTGAACGCTCAACTTCTGCAGGTTGCTTACTTTTAATTTAAAACAAGATTAGCAGTTCTATAGCTTGAACCAATTTGTTTTCCTCCACAGAGCGCTCCTCTCCCATCTCCATTTTCCAGTTACCCTCCTCCTGTGGTTACTCAGTGAAGGCATCATGGCAAAATCTGGAGATGATGGTACCATACGATGGGTGCTACATCTACAAGGAGGTACCGGCAGTGACTCATCATTACTCCTGTCCACAGTACTCTTGTGTCCATCAGTGCTGGTTTATGTTCCTATTTGTCAGAATGGCAGTTATGTGCTGCCCTTGCTGTGGTTGGGCAGCCCAGTGAAGCTGTCCTGCACGAGGAAGATGTCCACAGCTTCTCCTTTGTTCTCCCTGGCTGCCCCTTCAGTCTTGTGCTCCAGTTATGGCATGGCAGTTCAAATACACAGGAAGAAGAATAATCTACCTGTGCTATCAGTTATAAGTATGTACAGCAATGGTTTACTTCATTTTCCTTAAAAAAATTGGTTACAGAAAAGTGTACTGTTTTACAGTGGATGGAGCAAGAGGTCCATTTGTATCGCAAATGTGTGCATTCCAGGTCAACTCTCAACCTCAAGAGTTTACTTTCCTCATTTCCCACAAAGCACCTTGTATCACTACTGATGTAAGTGTTTTAAATATTCAACTTGTTGCCATTGGGGGGAAAAAACAAACATTTTATTTTAAATTTTTTGACAGGATGGTTTGAAACTTCAGCTTCTTTTAGATGATTACCAGTATGTTCTCTCCTGCCCAGTCATTTCTCAATTTTCCACTTTACCCTCTCAACCTGAGTTTTCAGTTCTGTCTCCTGGTGACCTTCGGTCATCTTACAGCCCAGATACCATCAGACCCAAATCCACTTCCCATTTTGTTCATTCTCCCAAAACTTCAGACCAGAAGCAAACTGCCCATTATGAAAACTACTCCCCCGATTTCTACACTGACTTCCAGTACCATCAACTGCCCCAAGTCAACCATCCCTCGCCACAGTCCCCTCGCCCACCTCAGCTTGGCAGTGACCATTTTCCTGGGTCCCAAATGTCTGAGGAGTACCCAGCTGGATCAGGAAAATTGTCTCGCTCTTTTGATGGACACCTGCGATACCCACTTTCTCAGTACCATTTTCCAGTGAAGGATCGTTCTCAAGTTTTTAAATCACCTGGTCACCTTCCTAAATATCGATATCTGTATTATCCCAACCTGCCATTTTCTTACATGTCATCAACCCCAAAAGCCGAAGAAAGTCCCAAACCTCCAGCAGGTTCTTATTATCCAAAGTACTACCTACCATCTTACCATCTTGCAACCACAGCAGAACCGGTGACCCAGTCCCCAGTTACAGTTCCCCCTCCTTTCCTTCCACCAAAACAAACTGAAAGTCATCCACATCAAACTAGTCCTCAATATCCACCTCTGTCTTATCACCACCACAAGCCAGATTTTTACTCTTCTCTGCATCCTTATGATTCTCTGCCCCTTAGTCCCACAGTCGGTACAACTGATCAACCCAAACGTCCTTCCAGACCGTTCAACCTGCAAAGTCATCTTTACTTTCAGCTGCCAACACATGTTGCACCTACCAGAGAGAACATTCAGAAACCAAGGACTCCCCAAGGATATAACTCGTACAGCTACCAACCAAATCGCCATATCCCCCATCTCTCTTTGCCCCTCTATCCAAAGATCCAACCCCATCCTTCTTTGACTTATGATCCAAAGATCCAACCCCATCCTTCTTTGACCTATGATCCAAAGATCCAACCCCATCCTNGATCCAAAGATCCAACCCCATCCTTCTTTGACCTATGATCCAAAGATCCAACCCCATCCTTCTTTGACCTATGATCCAAAGATCCAACCCCATCCCTCTCCATCTCTCTTTCCGAACAAATTGTTTTTGCCCCTTTATCCAATTAATCTACCATATCCCTCTTTGCCCCATGAGCCAAAGATCCAACCCCTTCCCTCTTTGCCACCTGAGCCAAAGATCCAACCCCTCCCCTCTTCAATACCTGAGCCAAAGAGTCTACCCCACCCTTCTTTGTCCCATGAACCAAAGGTCCAACCAAGTACAGAAACCCCTTACACTACCAGCATATTCCCTTACACTACCAGCATATTCCCAGACTTTCCACTTCCCAAGACTCCACATCTCCAATGTCTGAAGGATAAGATGGCTGTCTTCCTGCCTTTTGCTAACCCAGAATCCCTTCAAGTCAGAGGTGAGTGTTTTTTAAAACATTTTGTTTTCTGCTTAATGTACAAGTAAATTAAAAATCCAAGTTATCAATTTAATGTTTCTTTAATAATTTAAGCAAGATTACTAAGATTTAACATTTTTGGCATTTGTCAGTACAGACCTGTTGTCTGAAAACAGCATTGTACCAAACACACTGTGCTTTGAAAGTCTTTGTTTAAACCAATTTAAGCATGTCAACATAGCCCCAAAAGATTATTGGTGAGCTTTTTAGGTTTCTCGCTTAGCAGGAAACAAAAGCTTTTATAGTGTTATTTTTTTATTCAGTTCCTCTTATTGAATCATCCATCTTACTTACTAATAATATTACAATTTGTGATTGTTGCAGATTTCAAAGCTCTAGAATAACTTGTTGTTTTAAATCCCAGACCACACAAAAACATGGCAGTTTGTCTCCACTGTGTCTCCGCTCTGTGGGTACATGTTGCAGAGGATTGCAGATCGTGGGTTAATCCTCCACTCTCCGCTGCCTGCATGCCACAGCAACCTACAAGTAAGATTTATTCCAACTGTTCCCTGTTCACTTTTCAGAATTTTTGTACCTTTTTTCTATTGTGTGTTTTATAAAGATTGGCTTTATTGTCCCCTGTCGCCAAGGCAGGGGACTTAAATGCTCTCCATCCATCCATCTGTTAAAATTTCCGAAAGCTGTAACTTTCACATAGAAAGGCTAAGATGTACCAAATTTGTTATGAGTCATCCATGTTGCATGCCCATTGACAAACATTTGGCTCTAAATTCCACATATTTCAGCCAATTTGCACCCAGTTTGCTATGGTCATTCCTAATCTACCTCTCTAAGGGAATGCAGTACAATTTTTGGGGTGTGTGTGTGTGGCCTAATTGCACATCACGTCGTTGACATGTTTGGCTGTAAATCATACATGATCGTTCTGAACCAAATTTTGTGTGCTTCACAAGGGAGATCTGCTCAACATGTTTGTATAGTAGTTTGACAAGATCACTTTAGCCCCTCATTCTATCCACTGCTCACTTTGAGATGATTTAAATAATGAAGGCCTGTGACGATTCCAACAAAGCTAATAATAGTTGATCATTACTGAATGGTGACGGGGGACATCAGCGGCGGATGGCGTTAGTTCTGTCTTGTTGTATTAAAGTAAACTATTTATTCATCTCAATCGAAATGAAACCACACAAGTTCTTATTTATAAAATATGTCCATTTGTACAGCAGTAAATTTACACTACAGAACAAAATGAACTAAGACTGCTGAAGCTTAGGGTTTGTGCCATTTCATTTTGCTTGCATGTTGAACACGGACCAGCAGTTTGTTGTTGGCAGCTCATATTTGTAATGGATCTCACAATAAGTCATTTGTGCAGCATGCATCTGTGCAGGCCAGGGTGGAGTGTTTTATTGTCCGTGCTTCTCGGCTTATGAGAACTCAATGTTCTTGTTGGCACAGCCAAATTCACACACTTTATTTTTAAATGCAGGAGCTGGAAACTATGCGTGGTTGTTCTTGGTGAAATTTGTTTTCATTATTGATTTTTTTCTCTGTAGCCTCCCACGACTATTTCCTTCCCCATCAAGTATTGGGACTTTTCCGTTTGGCAAAATCGGAATCTGGATTTGCTATGCCCGTATCAAAGCAGCCATGAAACTCAAAGAATCCCTGAAACTCCAGCCCCGATTGAGCCGTCCAAATCTGCCATTCCACGGAGCTCCTCTATTGCTCAGATTGCCACCAAGGCTGAAGTCTTCTGCTCTTCCCATCAGATGAAAATAGTCCTTCCCGCTGGTCCCGTTTCTGAAATAGTTCTTAAAGGTATGTGTTTGTCTTATGGTGCTTAAATTCCAGGTACATCAGTTCTGTTTAGATATTTCAGGGTGCAGTGCTTAGGGGATGGTGTTTTTTGTTTTTTATTGTGACTGTTATTCAAAGCTGTATTTGTGTTAATCTTTAATGGTAAAGAAAATAAGTATGGTTGCACATGTGTATTTTAGATATTGAAGGGAAAAAGATGAATTTGGATGAAGCCCCAAAACACTGTGGGTATTACGCCAGCAATGACAAAGACGGCAAAATCCTTCTGACTCTCCACTTGCAGTCCCATTGTCACATGAGTATGCAGGCAAGTATTGATCCTGACCTCATATTGAGCATGTGACCTTTTGTGTAAACATCTAGTTTATGAGGATATTAATTCTTGTATTAATGTTTTCCCCTAAAAGAATGAAAGGTTTGTCATCAGTGTGATCTACATGACTGAGGATGGAAGAAAGGAGACTCAGATTTCCTGTCCAGTTGTGACCCCGAGGTCCAAACATGGTAGATGGATTTTACTTCGTTAAAAGGCTGTTCCGTTTTCTGAAAGGATGTTGTTTCCAGTCCAGTCAGTTATTTTAACTGTGTGTCTGACATTTGTCATGCTGCCCCTCAGAGTGCAACCTTCAGCCTGAATACCGCCTCCCCTGTGGGTCCAGCTCTATATCCCAGACAGAGTGCCTCTCCATGGGCTGCTGCTTCAACAAGCACCCCCCTGCCTGCTACTACCCCATGGATGGTGAGCTGCACTCTGTATCCCTACTGGCATTTTCACGCCACTTAGCTAAGTGCAGTTGAGTTGTTTTGAGGACAGGAAAGTAAGGACTGTAGCTGCTGGACGTGTGAAGGAGCATATTCAGGGTCAGCACAGCGTGATTGAAGCTGGCAATGACACAGAATCTTAGGTCTTGCCTAAGATCATTTGCCTCCTGAGATTTCTGACCTTTTTGTTCATGTGACCTTTTCGTAACTGCATGTGTATCTGTTTGTGTGCATCCCCTTACAGAGTGCACTATTGACCGCCACATGATCTTCTCTGTGCCTTCCTCCCTCACGGACCCCCCTCTTTCCCCTGCTCGGCTTGTCGCTGCCAGCAACTCTACCTGCATACCTCAGAGAGCGACCGCTGAGTACGCCTTGTTCAAAATCCCAATGGATGGCTGTGGGACACGCAGAGTTGTGAGTTGTACGAAAACAAAAAACGTTAAACAGGGAAACATGATCAGATTTCTGGACTGTTTGATCCAGAAAAGGTTGTTTTTTTATTGTTTTCCTTATAAAAATCCCATGAAAGATCCAGATAAAACCCTGAATGTCCTAATATAAAGTCAAAAGATTTTTTGTTTTGGTTACTTGTTGATGGACTTCAGTCTTACTGTCCCCTGGCTTGTAAAAACATCTGTATTTTTATTTATTTGCCTATTTGAGATTTGTTTCAGATTGGAGGAGCATCAAATACTTCTTTATTCCAAAACAACAAACACCATCTGATTATTTAATACTGTGTGTTGAACATTTTTATTTTTGTTTCTGCCCTGACAGGTGTTGGGGAAGACTGTAGTCTATATGGTTGAAGTCACAAACATGGTACAAAAAGTCAGACTCAACTACGGTACCATCACACGAGACTCTCCTGTCAGGTGAGCTGGTTGTATGTTGAGTTCACCTGCAGTGACCGCACTGTTGGAACTCCACCTGAACAGCTGGAGATAATCTGCTGCTTTTGTCATTTAGTTTTTTTTTAATGACAAACAGCAGCTGTTACAAAATTGTTTTTCTGTAGATAAACTTGGTATATATTTTTTCTTGATGTGCTATGACAATGGATCAAAGAAGTTGGAAACATTTAAATGTTCTTAAAGAGACACAAATGTTTGAGGTTCTTGTACAGTGTGAGCCCTGCTGACCAAACAAAGGTGCATTGGTTATAAACACAACAGCTGCTCCTGAAATGTTTCGAGTAAACTCTGAGGGACCGGTGAAGCCTTGAGTAACCCGGAGCCTCTGTTTCTCAGATTTATGTTCTCTCTGAGCTGCTCTTTGAGAGGTGATGTCTGACCATGTCAGAAACCAAGTGGCTGTTAGGAGTTTATCTGACTGGAGGCCAGGGTGAAAAGCTGATTATGATGAAAGATGGCTAATAGTCATGCCAGAAAATCCAGGCAGATATACTGTATAAAGACTTTTCTCTCATATGCTTTTGCACTGGGGTCATTTTCAGGTTGCTGGTGGAGTGCAGGTATGTGCCGGGAACAGTTCTGAGTGTCGGCTACGTGGTTAAAACTCCTACCTTTGGTCCTGAAATTCATACCCAGGGGGTGTTTGGCGTTCAGCTCAGGATTGCTAAAGGTAAAGATTAGTACTGTAAAAGACGTTTGTTGTTATGCATTTTAAAACAATGGTTAATCAAATGATCATTTTCTGTTCTCCAACCATCTAATAATAGATGCTGAGTACAGCAGTTATTACCCACAGTACCATCAGCCGCTGCATATGTTGCTGGGAAAACCTCTCCATCTTGAAGTACGGCTCCTCAACTCCCCAGATCCCAGTTTGGTGCTGCTGGTGCATTTCTGTGTGGCCTACCCCCGCTCTGGGAAAGCTGTGTGGGTGCTGCTTTACAACGGGTATTCCAAAATAAAAGCGAGCACAAAAAATATCCACATTTTCACACAGGAGGATTTTGTTGCTGCTGTTTTTGCACGCAAATTTAACACCTCTTTTCCACTTTACGTGACTCATAAATGTTCTACTCTCTAGTTGTCCCAACCCCTTGGACCCGGCCCCGCCAGAGACTGTTTTCAGTGATCCCACACCTTCATCTCCTCAAAGTCAGACGCGCCGCTTCAACATTCGCACCTTCCAGTTCCTTCCTGATGGCGACTTCCAGGACATAAATGAAGAGGTGAGGCTGTGACGAAGACTGTTACAGAAATAACCGTTTAAAGACAGATTGTGGGTAAAACATTGCATGAGATCCTGATTTATTTGCTGTTATTTGCTGATTTGCTGTTACCTCAGATCTACTTCATGTGTTCGACGGAAATCTGCTCACCACTTGATGGGCCTTGTGTTGAGGGATGCTTTGGCCAATGACGGTGAGAAAACTTATTCCAAAAAAACTCAGGAAGCATAAATACTTTGAAAGCCTTGTAATAAACCTGACTGAACACAGCCTAAGGTTGTAGCTACAGTTTTATGTGACAGCATGATTTAACTTAATGAGGCGTGAATTATTAAAACGATCCTTTTCCTGTCCTTTCAGATGCGAGAATTGATGCTTGAAGTTGGAATGATCTAGTAGGTTAATAAATATCTTAAAACCATTGCTTTTGTGGTTGGTCTCCATTTATTCCTGTTTTTTCTTTTGGTCACAGATGTCACTCATTTAACCTGCAATAAAATGTGTTAATGAAATAATTGAAGGTATCACTCTGTAATTTGCTTTACAAACACCTGCATCTAATTAAATCTGCAAATTGGTCTTCAGGTAAAGCAGGTGCTCACATATTGAAGAGCTGTGGCACAAAGCAGATTTATAAACTGGTAATTGACTTTACTCACCCTAAATTAATATCATTTATTTTCTTTACTGATAAAATTTTATATGCATCACTACATCCTTGAGAATCATTACTGTTATCTTTCACATGCTGCAGTGATGTTCCTGATATAGCTGGACTGTGAGCATTGCCTTATCAAGCAATCTGTCAGAGTTTCACAAGTTTTTATTTTTTTAAACCTGCCCTGTCAGGCAAGTGACAACAAATGTTACCTCCCTGACCCGAAACGTTACCAGCCCTAACAAAAATGTTCAAAAAAGTATTAAAAAAACAAGTACTGGACAAACTAAGTATATTTGAATGTTTATACACACAGTTATGTAATATGACAACTGACTGAGCAAATGCAAACATTGCAAACAGTTGGCAAAAAAGTTTTTCTTAATTTGGTGAGTAAAAACTACCGGTATGCTTTTCTATGTAGGGGTGTAGGTAACTTGTTTAGTTTAAAGCACTGGTGCTGCAGAGGTTGCTGGTTTTGTAGCACAAAACAAAAATATTGTAGCACCAGCATAAAATATCTGTTGCAATCTGTAAAAATAAAGTAGTGCATATCATTAAACTCACTGACAAAAGAAAGCACTGAAAGTTTTGATTTCCATTGAATTGTTTTCATCATTCGGTGAGTTTTGTGCAAAACCATTTTTTAGTGTATTCGAACCCACCAAAACTGAAAAGATGGTGTTTCTCTCTCTCTCTATCCCAAACCTTGCTTTACTATGTAGGTAGGTAGGTATGTAGAGCACCTAATTTTTTAGGTACTTGCCTTGCTTGGGGGAAAAACATTATGCCTTTGAGACTAATTTTGAAAGTGAATAAAAAAGGTGGAAATTGATTTGTTAGTGAAGCTAAATTTTTGGTTAGCTGTGTCCACCTCTGCATGGCTCCAACAGGAGATATTGGTTGAAAGCAAATCATGGACTGTGAGCGAGCATAAAAGGATCATGTCATGTAAAGGCACGAGGAGACGTCATTCGTTGCATCTTTAATAAATGCCACTGACTACACTGAAATTATGAACATCTCTTGTTCCGTTTAATGGATAAATTGAAGCTGCATGAAAAGCAATGTGTTCTGAAAAAGTAAAATACTTAAAATTCAATTACTAAAATAAAATTTTAATACAGCAAAAACATGCTTTAGCTTTATATTTAATGGTTAATTTACATTTGTACTTCCTGTTTTGTTTACTGGCCTGTATGGAGCCGCAGATAGAAATAAGCCAGTGGCTAAATTTGTCAACACATCTCCCTCTCATTAATGTAATGTTTTTGTGCTTTGTTCTTTTTCAATAAAGCTTAAAGAGAAACAAATTCAGCATTGTTACCTGGCCCACATGCAGAAAACAAATGATTATAATTTCAGGGTTATGTGGTTTAGAGGGCTCGCACTGTTAAAGGAGGATGAAATGATACAAAGAGCTCGTTAACAGTAAAACAAACGGAGCGGGTATGAGGGACAAATGTTTTGTGTTGAAAGATGAGCTGCAACATTTGGGACCAACTGCAGCTGTTCTCAGGAGGTCAATCTTGTTGATATGACCTGTGCTGGGAAAATGAGGAATGAGTACTGGGTGCAATAAAATAAAATGGATTTTTGGTGTAAATGGGATTTGCACAAAAGTGAGTCAAATGTTACTGGTATCTAAAATACTGCAGTAGCCCATGTAAGATTCCCAATGCTGTTTTTGAAACCTGTATGTTTTCAAAAATGTTTTTGTTCTTTTGAAATGGACCCTTTAGTGCCAGGAAATCCCTTCTTGGCCTCATTGTGCAACATAAAAAAAAATAATATTCATGACATCATTCAAACTAGCACCACTTTGTGGACGTGTCCAGCAACTCTTTAGTTTGTCTGCTTCCTGTGTTAGCCTTTTGACCACTGGGTGTCATCCAAGCAGTAAAAGTGCCAGAGGAACATAAGGTTCTCCGTGCTTGTATGACTCACAGCTGGGCTGATGAGCAGACCTTGGCCTGGGTAATGGTTGTGTAATGAGTTAGGCATGAAATCTTGCAGAGGGAGAGAAGCCCAGCCCGCTGATATCCAGTCATGTGAGGTGAAAACCAGCAAACGGAGGAGGGGAGGGGGGATCCACTAAAGTCAGGAATGATTTGGGGAAGAAAGTTTGAGGGGGTGGACTGTGGAGCAAGGGGCTATCCCCCCTCCTCCTCCTCATGAACTCGCGCACCTCCCCTCAGTGAAATGTATAGAAGCACTGCGGCACGCTGCGTGTTTGCGGGCTGCATGGCTGCCTGGTTCAAAGGCAGAGCGGAAGATAGGAGGAGGGGAATGACTACAGAGAGGGAGGGAGGGAGGACAGTTTCCTTTCTGTAACACACACACTGCTACAGGGAGAAAAAAAAAAGAAAACCCAGAGAGGGAAGGAAATAATAACCAGGAGTGGGAGAAAGAAAACACCGCAGCCCCTCCATCCATTTATCCGTCCGTCCGTCTGTCCGTGCGTCCTTTCCTTTCTCCTTTAAACGCGCAGACTTGCGGACTAACATGAGGACTGACTTTCAGTGAACCTCTCTGTGGCTAATAGGAAAGAGGCGACGGGGAGGACATGTTTGAGGGGCTGCGCGTCTTGATGTTGCTGTAGGCTCCAGAACCAGTCGGCTATTACTGAGGAAGAGGAGGAAAAACCAGGCGAGCGAGCGCAGACGGATGGGAAGTGAGCGTTAGACTGAGCGCAGGAGCCATTGCTGCGGTCGGTGTTTGTTTAATTGGTTTTGTTATGACCCCAAATAAGGCAGGCCTCTATACAGGAGCTACTTAGCTTCAGAAAAACGCGCTCGTGTTGGAGCCTACTTCTTTTTTTATTCTAGCGGGGGGGATTAAAAAAAAAAACTTGCCACATTACGAGTTTTTTATCAATCTGATTGGCTTTTGAGGGCAGGAGATTAGATTATCTTTGCGCACACTTCAATCGAGCGGAGTGAAAGAGCAAGAATTATTTTTTTAAATGTTAATGTCGACCGACGTCGCATCTATCATGCTGCCTGTGTCCCGGACTCTCATGGACCGGGACAGGGAGCTGGACAGCGCCATGGCCGGCGGGGTGCATCCCAACCCGGGCGGCGCTCCCGCAGCTGTGCGGGGCATGAAGCGAGGAGACCCGGAGCCCGACGGACAGGCGGCCGCCGCGCTGCTGGACTCCACCGGGGCAGAGTGCAAGCGGCCCCGCATGGACGGCTCTGGGGGGCTCGGTGAGGTCGGACAGGTGAGAAGAAGTCTATTTTTTTATAGATAATTTTCAGTCCGTACACATTATGTTTTTGGTTAGGCTACATGTTCAAGTTGTTTTAATGAGGAAAAGCATTTAAATAAGAAAGAGTAACAATTCATGATCCAGATGCGTCTATGCCTTTAAATAGAAGCTGAAAGATAAATAGCCATTATTCTGGCCATTTTGAAGTGGGGTTCTGTGGAGAAATCATGAACAGTTACTATCTTACCTGGTGTAGATAGCATTTTGAACAGCTTCAGGCCCCACCAGGAGTGATGTTTTGTGAATAAGCAAAAAGCAGCGTCTTGGTGCCCCAAACGATATTTTTAAAAACTGGATTCAGAGTAAAAAAAAAAAGAAAACAGCCTAAACACAACCGTTTTGTAATGAAGTCATAAACCTACAACCCAAAATGTGACATGAAGCACTTTAAAAGTTTTGAAGTTCGATTTCCTTTTGGTTTTGACTGCATCCAGCTGTTTTAAGCTGCTTGTTCTCCAGGCTGAGGCTGTTCTACAACAGGTAAGATATTAACTATTTATAGCTTTTCCACAGAACCCCACTTCAAATGGCCAGAATAGCCCCGTAAATCCATCAAACCACAAGGTAGCTACTGTAAACAAGCCTGATCTGTCATTATGTAGCAACAAATAACCTGTCATGGGATCTAATATTAGATTGGACTAGAATCCTTTTTTGTCTTGGCTTGTTTTGAACTTTGAAGGGGGAGGGCCGCTGTGTTCCCAACTTTATTATAGGTGTGTGTAAATCAGCCCCTCTCTTACCTAATCAGGCTGATTACTTCACCTCTCAGAGCCTGTTGTTTTATCGGTGTAACTTTGATCTGAAACAAACCTGTTTTCTCTCACCGTTGGCTCAGTAAACTTGCCGTTCGTGCCCTCGCCGATGCCCTGAAATGGTCATATCTTGTTGCTAATAGAGCACCACAGGACAGCAGGGGATGCTCGGGATATCATTAGAGTGGATTATGTAGGCTGAAGTACTCCGGTGGAAGACAGAAAGCCATTTTGCCGTCACTGAAAGAGCCAGTAATGGAGGTGAAGTGGCCTGTTTGCTCCTGGTTGTGGGGGGGGGGGGGGGGGGGGGGGGACTAAATGACTGCCTTTACATCGTCATCCTGTCCGAGAGTGCTGACAGACGGGCTCAGACGTAAGGCACTTACGAACACGTGTGAATGGAAGTGTGTGGGAAAGAGAAGCTCAGATCAATCGCTTCATGCCTCTAAAACGTATCGAACCAGCTGGACAGTCCGGAAATGAGAGTGGGAATGGTATCCCCCCATTCCCTCACTTGGTCCCAGCCTCCTCCCCACAGTCCCAATCTCTTAGTTAGAACAGATTAGCACTATCACTGGCAGTAAAGAGGCTTTGTTCCCAGATTATAGGCTCATATTGGACGGGGGGAATCTAAGATTATATGCCTGTTAGCAGAATATTGCATGAACCACTGGATAGATTTAAGTGTAACAGGAAATGGTAATGAAAAGTAACACTACAAATGATTATTAGCTTGTCAAGATAGCCACCACAGCTAATTGACTTGAATCAGCCACAAAATGTCTGTAACACAGTCAGTTTTAATTAAAACAAGCTAAAATTGTGTGTGTTGCTGAGATTCATTAACACATAAGGCTTTTCGTTAAATTATTCTGTGAAATGGCCACACACACCAGTCCACCTTTAGCCTCTGGTCATCCATAAACCACAGATTGAGCTGGCCACTTCCCACTCAGATGTGAGCCTTCAGAAAAGAAGCAAGCAGAACTCAGCAGGGCTGAAGTGGAGCACGACGTATTAAATGTGTGACAATGTGTCCCTTGTGTCATTTTTTTTGCCCCTTTGCCACTAGTGCCACTGAAGTTTAGTGTCGGTACAAGCCATTTCCATTAGGCCAGATTCTTGGATCCAGCCCCCTTTTTTGGTACGTACTTCATTGTGGTTCCAAGTGGTCCCAGTCGACACCAAAATGTGACACCAGAACACTGTTCGTCACTGATTGGCTAGGGGGTGGAGTCACTGAGCTGCTTTTACAACAACAACTCGAGGCGCCATTTTTTCAATTGTAGCAGTGGCATTAGTCGTGTTTCCGTTCAACTTTAATTCAAATTTTTAAAATTTCAGAACTTATTCAGCAAATGTGTTTCCATCGCACATTTTGCGCATTAACTCTTTTTTTGAAAAAACCCAAAAACCACTCCCACCAACCGCCCAAAACTGGAACCGGACTGGAACATCAATGGAAAAGCACCCAAACTGACCCGTTTTGACACTGACCGGACTGACACTACACTAAGTGGCACTAGTGGAAAAGGAAAACATATTCTCTCACTTTAGGGGTCCTCTTTGTGGTTATTTTCTTTTTAACTAATTGCAAAGTTGCCGTGTGTCATCATCAATATTCCCCCTGCAATAAATCTGTTTGTTGTTTGATTCTGCGAGCATCAGAAAATAATGTCATCCGCTTATCACATTATTGAGCTGTGGCGCCGCAGGTCTTTTTTTTGTTTGTTTGTTTTTTTTCCAATTGTTTTGGACTGGCCCAGCTCTGATGTTTGCTGATCCTTGCTCTGGCAGCACAGAGGTGAGCTTTCTTTGACTCTCCGCTCGGTGCCTCTGTGCATTCAGAAGACACACGGAGGCGTCCAGAACACGCCTCAGACCTGGACTGAGGCGTCTTGTGAATGAGCCTCTGATTAACAAAGTTTTGGCTGAAATATTACTCCTTCCCTTCTAAGCACAACATAATCTTAATTTAAAGCTCTGGTGATCTGCATTCCTTTAAGAAATGCTAAGTGATTAATTAAAGCAAATGAAGATAAACGCTAACTGTGTTCAGATTCTGACAGGATTCTCATGATTGACTTCTGAAGCTGCAATTTTCAACGCTTTCTTTGCTAAAAGATTATTCAATTGAAAAAAATAATAATAAACTTATAATGAAAAGAGGCCACAGCCTTAAACCTGGTGGTCATCAGCAGCTCCAAAAAGTTATTCTTAATCAAAGTTTAACGTTGACTTTTTAAAAGTCTCATTTAAATAGTGCATTTTTTTCCACAGTGTTTTATGTGTCTCAGATGGATTGTTCAGACTTAAAAATAAGACATTTATATTGCTTTATCCTTTATTACTCTTGGAGGCAGCCCTTTTTTTTTGACTGATGTTCAGTTTTCCAGCTTTTGCGGACCCACTTTCCCAGAAAGCTCCATAAAATTAAAGAGAAGCGTGTCTGTGAAGCTAATCTTCAGAGGATGGAAAATATTACAGTGTTCTGACTCTCAGAAGACACACAGTCTCTGTGCTTTAATCCTTTCCTTACTTGATGAAAGAAAGAGAAGGAAAAAATGTTACTGCTGACATCTCTGCAGGAGTTGAACTTTGACCTTCATGCACTGTGGGTGTGGTTGTAGTGAGTCACTCATTTTCCCATTTGAAGCTGTTCTATGTTTTTTCTTATCATTGTGCAGGAGTGGAAGAAAAAATTGGTCTGGTCACATGTCAAAGTTTGAACGGAAAAGGTAATTTCTAAATGAGCACAACAAATTGAGATCCCCAAATATTGGCCCGTGGCTCAAATCTGATCCCACATTAAGTCTTATCTGGGCCCAGATTGGTTGTTAAATACCATGTTGGTGGAAAAGGTTTTTATCTTAATTTAATGT